TATGCAATGCCTCTTTTGATAAATAAATGCAGGTTGGCTGAGGCTCAGTGGACGGCTGTAAAATTTCAGGCCAATCGAAGCACACACAGGCCAGTTACACAGCACGTCTCGTATTCTGGTGTTTTATGTCGTTGTGGCCGAATTCAGGGGGGCGCCATTTCCACGTCGTCAGACTTGTGCGGACCATTTTACTAACGTGTAATCACTACCTCCTGTAGTTTGTGCTGGCCAAATTTCAGGTGTGTACGACCTTCCCTGTAGGAAGAGATAGATTTTGAAAATGGCCAAAACTGGCCAAAAGTCAGGCAACATCACCAAAATTGTCACCAGGGTTTTTCAAAATGACTTACTTCCTGTTGGGTTTAGGACTTAGCGCTGATTGAGTTTTTGTGCGTCCTGACCTGCTGCACATGCCCACTGAATCTTGTCAGTGTAGGTGAAACAACCTTCCGACAAGAGTCAGTTGAATGCAAAAAACACTGCGAAAATGGACAAAATGGCCATTGATCGAAATTGCGTAGCTGTAGGTCATACGTGCTTCCGACAGGACTCCGTTGAAATTTTCACGGTGGCGCTGTGGAGCCATTTTGGCAGCGACATGTCCAACTCCATTAAGATATCAAATTTTTCGCCAGTCCTGGTGTGTGTGGCGATTTTGCTGAGTTTTCGTGGATGTGAAGGCCCTCAAAATCGCATTTCAAAAGTCGGCAAAAATAATAATAAATAATAATAATTGTCATGTCTTTGGGTCAAAGATATTAATATTTTCATGAACGATAAGTTAGAGAAAAGGTTACAAATAAGTTCATAATGTATAGATAAATAAGTTAACTTCATAGGAAAAACCGTTATAAAGCTACGATTAAAAAGTTTTCCGCGTGAGACGTCTTCGGGGGGGGGGTTCGTTTTGGTTATGTCAGAGTGAGCGCTCGTCTTGACCATAAACGATCTTCACCGTTTTTCCTGTTGGGAGAAACGGCCGGCGGTGTGACGGAGACAAGGTCTGGGGAACCTCGGATCGGTTCTGGAGCGTTTGAGCCTGGGGAAATGCCTGTATAAAGCACTTGTATAAAGCTGTTTCCATGAGCAGTTCGTAATGTATGTGTGTTAGTTAGCTGTTTGTGTTAGCATGCCACACGTATCGTAATTGCATTTTTCTGTTTTGTTTCAGTTACTAATTGTCACGTTGACTTCGAGAAATCTCCATAAACATAAGAAAAGCAAGCCTTGTGTGTGGAGTTTCTTAAATAGTTCGCTGGCTGTCTAGCAGCACACAGTTACATACAGTGAGGACAGCACATCCTCCGAGTCTCAGCCAGAGCATGTTTCAACCACGGCCAACACGCACGCCGCCACGGCTCGCCGCCACGGCTCGCCACTAAACAGGAAGTGGCTCATAACTAGGCCGCATGTGGTCCGATCTGCCCCAAACTCAACACGCCGGATCACAGTCCCGCCCGGAGCACGTTTGCACCACACGCCGACGTGTGCGAAGGGCGACAAGCTTCGGGCGAAGACCCGTCAAATGCCCCTTGCAGCTTTAATTAAGTTTGCTGACCACACAGCAGTAGTGGGTCTGATCTCCAACAACAATGAGGATTATTTAATGGAGATCACCCACCTGGAAGACTGGTGCAGAGACAACAGCCTCCTCTTGAACGTCAACAAGACTAAAGAGCTGATTGTGGACTATAGCAAGAAGCAGCAGAGGGCATACCACCCACTCAGGATCAGCGGGACAGAGGTGGAGCGAGTGGAGAGCTTCAAATACCTGAGTGTTAACATCACGCAGGACCTGACATGGTCCTGTCACATCAACACCCTGGTGAAGAAAGCTCGACAGCGTCTCTACCTCCTCAGACGCCTGAGGGACTTCAAGCTCCCTCTCAAGGGCTCAGGAACTTCTACACCTGAACCACTGAGAGTGTTTTGGCTGGGAGTATCACCACCGGGATGAGCAGCAGCGCCCAGCAGGACTTCTTGGCCCTGAGGAGGGTGATCTGCTTGGCTGAGGGCACCATTAGAACCACCCTCCCTAACCTGCAGGACATTTACAACAAACGATGCAGGTCAAAGGCCAGGAAGATTGTGAGTGAGCCCACCCATCCCAGCCACAGACTGTTCTCTCTGCTGCTGTCAGGGCGGCGTTTCCGCTGCCTGAAGGCAAACACAGAGAGGATGAGGAGGAGCTTCTTCCCTCAGGCTGTCCGCCTGCTGAACTTGATACAGTCGACTCAATAAAAAATCCAACCGGTTGCTTTTCACCTGATATATATATACGTGTATATAATATTACTATTTTATTTATTTGATTTCCTTTTGCCCTGTTTGACAATTTTATTTATTTAATTTTTTTATTTCTATCTTGAGCTCTCTCGCTATACATACATACATACATACATACATACATACATACATACATACATACATACATCTATATATATACATATATTTCTTGTGTGTTTTATTATTTACTATTATCCATCTTATTATTGTTGTTTCGGTGTGGAACAGGTACACAACAAATTTCACTGTGCGTTATATCATGTATAACTGCGTTTGTGACCAATAAGGGTCTTGAATCTTGACTCTTGAATACAGATTCCTATGTTTGCCATTTGGGATTTTATCTGCACCAAAGGTATCTCAGAGGGCTGTTGCACAGATGATTGAAGGACTAGAGGGTGTGGTAAATATCAGTGATGACTTGCTGGTGTGGGGAGACTCTGTGGAGGAGCACAACCACAGACTGGAGAAGCTGTTGGAGAGAGCCGGGGAATACAGGCTGAAACTTAACAAGACCAAGTGTGTGATAAAGACAAATGAAATAAAATACATTGGACACAAACTCAGTAGCAGTGGAGTGAGACCAGTTGAAGAAAAGGTGAGAGCAGGGACGCAGCTCCCTCCGCCAGAGAACAAGCAGGATTATAGTTGTTTGAATTTGATCAGATCACATATTTTATATCATTTGGAAACCTCATTGCAAAGAAAACTCAGCAACATTGCATAAAATCACAAAAGTGACTGTACATCTTTTCACTAATAGGCCATGAAAACAATGGAGGTTTGCAAATGTATTCATAAAAATTACATTATTTAAATCTAAGCATTGTAGTACAACCAGAGGAAGCTCATTGATGTGTGTTGTGATTTTGGTGGCTCTACAAAGAATAAATAATAAGTTTTGTTTGTTTGTTTGTTTGTTTTTAAAGCATTTCCTGTCGCTCTGGTAATTTGTTGACGGTCCCTGAGCTGTCGTCTGGCAGCCGTCTGCACGTAAAGATCAATGTAATATATAAAGAACGGAGGACGTCCCATTTTGCAACAAACAACAACAACAACAATAACAATTTTGGCCGGTTGTAGGTTGTGGTCTGTATTACAACGTTTGGAAAGAGGTGCCATTTGATTCAAACGCCGACGGGATATAATTATGTGACATTTTCGAGACGTCACGACAGAAAAACTAGCGCATGTACGGCGATGCCGCTAAAAC